CTATGATTCTGTGATAGCATAGTTTCTTTGACTACTTGAATTGGGAAACGGACCATTATGTTACTGAGCACCCACGGGGCTGCAGCAACTCTCCCAGCATCCCCATCTCACAGCAAATGAGCATCAGGGTAATGCTCCACCCTCTTCCACTCGCCCAAAGCTCACCCAAATAAGCTGAATAACTCAGGACCCGGGGCACAGACATTATTAAGCTGTAGCTGGGGCAGCTCAGGGCAGCCTGAGCTCTGAAGTACCAATCTCTCAGACAAACTTAGATACGTGACTGGTTTGAACCTATTCCCCTTTCCGATTAGGGAGAGTGTTTTCTACAAAGGCATTGGGTTTTTAAGAGCTGAAGACAGCAGAGCATAGGAATGCGCAGCATGAAATAATCTGTGTCTAATTTTCAAGTATCCTGTTTTAAACAGAGTTAGGAGAACAAATCTACACCATGCATATACGCATCTGTTTCTGTTCATGTTTCAATATTCTATTAAGAAAAATTTCATTTCACAGAAGAACATGTTAGTCAAATATCTGTACCAACTTTTGGATTGTCACTCTCCATGTTCCGAGTTCAAGGGACCTAGATAAAACAATAGTTTGAATTAAATAGCAAGGTGGCAGTGAAATGATTATTTACTCTTGGAAAAAAGGAGAAACAAAATATTCATAGGAAAGCCCAGGAAAAGAGCAGACAAATGAATCCAAGTTCACTAGAATAATTACATTTTTGTCAAATACTGAGAGAAAAGAATCTCTGCTAAGTAGGAAAACTGTGAAGAAAACTGAAAGACATAAGGGATTAAAAAGACAATATTTTGCTTAGAGGTTCCCCTCCGAAGTTATCAGACTGGGAAGCACAACATATACACAAAAACTATGGTTAGTATTTTGGAATAAATATGCCTAATAAACATCACGACTAAGAAGAGTTCATACCACAAAAAGAATCCTTAATGTTTTTCTGTCAGCTGCATTTCCAAATGTCATCCTTTGTATACAGGACAAAACAATCGCCTTGGATATGTGCTGGTTTTGAGCCAAGGGCAGTGCATTTTCTCATAAATAGCTCTATTACAAACACACTGTAACATCACTGTATACTTTACTTCTATCTTGCCAGGAGGCAGAAGAGGTTGCTGTTAACAACTACCTAAACTTGCAGTAAGTCCATGTTCTTGTGGGCTTACCAAGACTGAGAATGTGCCCTGCTTCCTGCTACCAACACAGCAAACATTAACAGAGCAGCAAAGAAGACTTTCACTATCTTTGTGAAAACATAGATTAGGATTTCTGGTCAAGGGCCAGGATCTTGCGGGCTCTTATGCTAGATTCCATACATAACCTAAAACAGAACATCTCAGCAGTGAGGCAGCTTGCAATCTCATCTGTATCTAGAATGCGCCTTATAGAATCATAGAATCATTTAGGTTGGAAAAGACCTTTAAGATCATCAAGTCCAACCGTTAACCTAACAATGCCATCCCACCACTAAACCATGTCCCTAAGCACCACATCTACACAGCAGGGATGGTGACTCAACCACTTCCCTGGGCAGCCTGTTCCAATGCGTGACAACCCTTTCTGTCAAGAAATTTTTTCCTAATGTCCAACCTAAACTTGCATTGGCGCAATCTCAGGCCACTTCCCCTCGTCCTATTGCCCGTTATGTGGGAGAAGATACCAACACCCACCTTGATACAGCCTCCTTTCAGGCAGTTGTAGAGGAAAATAAGGTCTCCCCTCAGTCTCCTCTCCTGCAGGCTAAACAACCCCAGTTCCTTCAGCTGCTCCTTGTTAAGACTTGTGCTCCAGTCCCCTCACCAGCTTAATTGTCCTTCCCTGGACACACTCCAACACCTCAACGTCCTTGTAGTGAGGAGCCCAAAAGTGAACACAGTATTCGAGGTGCGGCCTCACCAGCACCGACTACAGGGGCACGATCACTTCCCTACTCCTGCTGGCCACACTATTCTTGATACAAGCCAGGGTGCCATTGGCCTTCTTCGCCACCTGGGCACACTGCTGGCTCACATTCAGCTGGTTATTGACCAGCACCCCTAGGTCCTTTTCTGTCAGACAGCTTTCCAGTCACTGTTCCCCAAGCCTGTAGTGTTGCATGGGGTTGTTGTGACCAAAGTGCAGGACCTGGCACTTGGCCTTGTTGAATCTCATGCAGTTGGCCTTGGCCCACCGATCCAGCCTGTCCAGATCCCTCTGTAGAGCATTCCTACCCTCCAGCAGATCAACATTCCTACCCAACTTGATGTCATCTGCAAACTAACTGAGGGTGGACTCAATCCCCTCATCCAGATCATTGATAAAGATATGAAACAGAACTGGCACCAAAACCGAGCCCTGGGGAAAAACACTTGTGACCAAGTGGATTTAAGTCCATTCACCACAACTCTCTGGGCCCAGCCACCCAGCCGTTTTTTTACCCAGTGAAGTGTACACTCGTCCAAGCCATGAGCAGCCATTTTTTCTAGGAAAATGCTGTGGGCAATGGTGTCAAAATCTTTACTATAAAGTCCAGGTAAGCAAAATTCACAGCCTTTCCCTTATCCACTGAGCAGGTCACCTTGTCATAGAAGGAACTCGGGTTGGTCAAGCAGGACCTGCCTTTCATGAACCCATGCTGGCTGGGCCTGATCCCCTGGTTGTCCTGCACATGCCTGGTGAGTGCACTCAGCATGAACCATTCCATAACCTTCGCCGGCACCGAGGTCAGGCTGACAGGCCTGTAGTTCCCCGCACCCTCCTTCCAACCCTTCTCATAAATGAGAGTCACATTTGCCAAGGTCCAGTCAACTGAGACCTCCCCAGTTAGCCAGGACTGCTGATAAATGATGGGAAGTGGCTTGGTGAGCACTTCTGCCAGCTCCCTCCATACCCTTGGGTGGATCCCATCCGGCCCCATAGACTTGTGTGTATCTAAGTGGTGCCGCAGGTCACTACATTTCCCCTTGGATTATGGGGGCTTCATTCTGCTCCCTGTCCCTGCCTTCCAGCTCAGGGGGCTGGGTACCCTGAGAACAACTGCTCTGACTAGTAAAGACTGAGCAAAGAAGGCATTAAGCACCTCGGCCTTTTCCTCATCCTTTGTCACTGTTTCCCCCCGCATCCAATAAAGGATGGAGATTCTCCTTAGCCCTCCTTTGGTTGCTAATGTATTTATAGAAACTTTTTGTTGTTACATGATGTCTTTTACAGCAGTAGCCAGACTGTTCTAGCTCAGCTTTGGCCCTTCCAATTTTCTCCCTGCATAACCTCATGACATCCCTGTAGTCCTCCTGAGTGGCCTGCCCCTTCTTCCAAAGGTCATAAACTCTCCTTTTTTCCTGAGCTCCAGCCAAAGCTCTCTGTTCAGCCAGGCCAGTCTTCCCCACCGCTTGCCTTTTGGCGCATGGGGACAGCCTGATCCTGTCTGTTAAGATACCCTTCCTGAAGAATGTCCAGCCTGCCTGGACTTGTAATGTTAAATCTCAGAGCAACACACAAACACGAAGCTTATGCCATCACTGTGCAAACTTGGTAAAAAGGAATTGCAGCAGGACCACTGAAATGACCACAAAGGTGACATGAACCCATTTGCTGAGCAAGAATAGAAGCTGCGAGTCCCACACATGCACTCTGTGCTCAGATTAGGGCTCTGATGCATGCAAACATTTACTTCTGCTACATGAAATTCCAAACTCAGACTAAAAATGCAACTCTTCTAAGTTCTTACTCGTGAACAGAAGTTGAAACATCTGTCTTGAGGAGTCATCAACTACCTCAGAAAGACATCTATTAATAATTGATCAATCTTTCAGGAATAGAAGACAACATGTCACCTGTAATTAATTACATATTGTGGTAAGATAAACTAAATAGCACCAGCTAGGTCAGACCCCTTGCCAGTCCATCGACAGCAGCTCTTCAGCAGCAATCACATCTTCTCTGGAGGAGATGCGCTGACCTAGTTAGTGCTAACCCAAGGAAGAAAGCTTCCTTCTCTTCACTGCATTAACCACTAACATACTTTCCCCCCCCTATCTGGGCAATTGTAAAGGGCATGAGGAACACAGAAATATCATAGGTTATGTCGTGTGGAAAATTTGCCTATAATAGGTGACTCTGTTACATCAAAAAGTTTGTGGGACTCCTGTTCAAAGAATTCAAAATTTGTGGGAGTTAGGTAAACTCAGGTAACACAAGACTGAACGTTTAATTTAGCTAAAATATCTGGTAAGTGAAAAACATGACCTATTAATAATTTGCAGGGCATAAGCCTTAAAGTCAAAAAGGAATTATTTGTATGCTACACGGAAGAATGACAACTGTGAAGACGGATCAGTATCTTCTTCAAATTACACCACAAGCTGATCTCTACTAACCTTGCAAAGACCGATACACCTGAGAGATTAATTTTATGCGTTTTAAGGAGGGGTAGAAATGGGCATTTTTCTTATCAGTGATGGTGAAATGAAGTGAGACCTAGGAAAACCACTCTCTAGGAATAATGACACCAGGCGTTCTATTAAAAAAAAAAAAAAAAAAAAAGTACCAGAAATGTTATTACAAGTATTGTAATGTCCAACCTGCCATTGCCACCTGACATTATAACAGTGGAATAACTGCCAAAACACCCAACCTATTTGTGCATCCCTCTCAAAATAGCATCACATTTCTAAACGAATATGAAAATCTAAAAATGTCTAAATGGTGTATTCAGTATAAACTGACAAAAACTTTTGATGTGCTCTCACTTTTATTTTTTCTCATGGTTCACAGCATTAGTTTGAAAGTTTGTAAAACGTCAGAAAGACTACAACTCTGAACGCAAAACAAACCAGGTCCAAGAAGCTGGCGTGCCAGAGCATGGGCAGAAGGCAGCCCTAATTTTGGAGATGTACTGAGCCAACTTACTGCATTACTCTTTTTCAGAGAAAATAATGGGCAAGGAAATCAGACGTGAGGAGAGAAAAGCAGAATAGCAATAGAGAAGTAAATAAAATGGGATGGAAAAGCAGGTTATTTTCTCTTCCAGAGATTTTACAGCGAGACCCTACTCAAGCCACCCAGCAAGAACCTCCCCTTTCCAATGATCCCTTAAAGATTGCATTAGTTTTATTTTTTACCTGACTTAATCATGCAACTCAGTGTATGCAGCTCTCATACGGCTGCTAAACAATTCCGAGACGGGCCCCAAAATATCTCTGTTACCTGTTTATTTTTAAATCTTGTGATATTAAAACAAATACTGAGATTCAAGGGGAAAAACACTGCTGGGACTGGGTTGGTGACTTCTGAACCCTAGGAAATGGCAATGCAGCTGTGAGTGAGAAGTCCAGAAGTGAGTGAAGCAGCAGGAGCATTGACCCAACCAAAGCTGCATCCCATCTTCATTTCAGAGCATGACTTATCTAAGTAAGCAAGGGCTTTTAAGAACAAACATACATCCATTTTGGCTTATAGCACTGTGGTTGGGAAAGCAATCCAACAAACTTGGACGGGGGGTGGAAATCAGTGTTGCTGTACAAGGAACGTTTGCAGAAATTGTTTCCTCAGCTTTTCTCGGAAAGTAAACAGACATCGCTGTAAGTGAAAGCAACTTCCAAGCTATAGATGAAAAGCCGAAATGCAAACTTCACCGCGTCTGCCCCAACACAATGTGATAGCCAATATTATCCAGGGTAACGCTCAGCCTCGTCACTCATCCTGGACAATGTATTTTCCATTCTCCCACTCCTCTTCCTGCGCAGAAAGGCAAGGCTTTCTATTCCTATTCACATTTGTCTCTCCTTTTTTTATCCCCATGACTCCTGTATCTTCTTCACCCCTAAAGAAGTCTGTAGTTATGTGCAAGCAAGACTGATGACATCAAGCCTTTAAATACTGTGAAAATAAAGTCTTAAAATGACTATATGCCACGCGTGTCATACTGAACATCCCCTTTTAACACATTTTACTTAAGAGTTGACTCTCCTGTCATTTCACAGAGTAAATACTTCAGTAAGGATTTTACAGTAATAGCCTCTTCCCTGCTGGAAAAAAAAATAGCACGATGATGGAGAGTTTCCTGCTTAATTGCTGCTGTATAAAATGGAAACTACAAGTAGTTTATGACTTACCAAAATCATAAAACAAATGACAAAAGTTACAGCCTTCATGTCGAAATCTCTAACCCTAAATTATTTACCAGAAGATATCTGGGGATATTTTGTAGACTTAGTGTTTTTTCAATACCTCCCAGAAAAATAATTTCCTAAATATAAACTCAGTGCTTATTCCAACACAAGATGCTGTATTTAGCTGAATTTCTTTTTCATTTCAAAATATCATAACCTCAACTGGGAAACACAGCTTAAACTGGGAGAAATTAGAGGCAAAGGAACAAGAAGATAGGAAGATACACTGCAGTAAACAGAGATTTAAAAAGCAGCAAATAAACAGGAGAGAAAAAAGCAGCACAAAAGGCAGAGGATGATTAAAAACACAAGAGAAAGGGAAGGAAGCAACAAAGCCAGCATAACCCTGCCTTTTCGAAACTGCTGATAGGTCAATAGCATATACTTAGCAAATACCCTCTCATTAAAAACAGAGAAACTATGAGCCAAACCACTGATTCAAGAGTCGGGATGCAAAAAGGCAATTACTGAAATCTACAAAGTATTTGCAGAACAGGAGGAGCACTATACTTAAAACCAGATATAAAACAATTGGCGGAAATAAGAACAGGAAAGTAGTTCTACTCCACGAAACTTAAGGAAGGATTCGACAGATCCTGGCTCCGTTCAAGTCAGTCCGCGTTTCCCCAGCGCAGCTCAGCCACGGGAACTGGTTGCCCGGGGGGAAATCGGTGAGCTGCTTGCACTGCTGGATGCTCCTGCAGCGAAGATCAGTTTGTTTTAGCAGACTGGTGTGGGAGAACTAAGAAGAATAAGAAAAGCTACGTCCTTTGCCTCACTGCTGGCTCATCTGTCTGGTAAAAAAACAAAACCAAAGAAACAAAAAACCAAAAACCCCACCCCACAGTGAAAGTGAACCCTGACAGGTATAAACACAGTGCAAAAAACCGACTTCACAGCTGTTCAAAGGAAGGCAGTGCTTTCATCCGAATCAGCCGAGATCAGCCAGGTTAGAACATAGGAACACACACGAGCTGCAGTGCCAAGATACATCTCACACGGGGACTTTACAAAGGTAAGTTTTCTCATGCTAATGAGCTGTGGCCAGCCCAAACATGTCCACTGTTACATAGGATTGTCCTGCGACATTTTGTTGAAAAGGAGGTAAGACCATTGACTGGCTTTTGGGTTCGTTCTTCCTGTGTTCTGGCAAGTTCTCAGAAATAAGGAACTCCCTTGTTTTAACAGAATTTTTAAGGTATGGATTGAACAATGCTTTTTCACTGAAGTCTTCCAGCTTTAAAACTTCTTCATTACCATTTTCTTCATTTTTAGTTGAAATCTGCTGGGATTCACATAAATCACCTGCCAGCACTTCTGTGGGTTGGATTTCCTTCGCTGGTACCAAAGCTGAATGCATTTGACTTCTGATATCTTGATCAGTAATTACATAAGGCATGGATGGTGCAAAACATTTAGCAACTTCATCTTCTTCATTACAGAGTATCTTTTTATCTCCATTAATCATGCCTTTTGTATTAGTATCAGGACACTCAGAAATATGGTTTTCACAATTCGTTAGTAGTGATCCTTCCTGACTTTCTTCTGGAAAACAATGTTCCAAAACACTTACATCTTCAAAGTCTATGGTTTTAGCTTCAGATGTCACTCCCTTCAGAAATGAATTACTCTGTCAGAACAAAGAGATAAATTGGAAAGTTATATAGGCATAGATAAGGTATTAGTCTATTTTTTAATAGACTGCCATTTGAGCTCTGACTCAATTTTAAAAATGCCTTAATAAAAGAGTTCATGTGCATTTCAGCTATTACACAGTTATATGTCAGTGAGTACTAAAAATTACAATCTTGCTCTGTCTACTTGTTAAACACTTCACATTAGGTTTTCTGTGCTTAGTAAAACACAGAGTTCCAATGAAGGCTCAGAATCAGGCTCAGACTGTTTCCATCTTTTTCACTCTAACAAGCCATTTTTCAGACAAAAAGTTTAAATCCCATTCTCCACAGATTACACTTTTAATGTAAACCTTATCAACTCCATCTCATTCAAATAAACATCAAAACTTTAATAAGGAATAAATATCCAACAATAAAAAAAGGCAGAAATGTTAGTGCAGTAATATACCACATCTTATTACATGTTGCACTATATTTTTTGTGGAGAAGGGAGGAGATATCCAGATGTGGGAATTAGATTCAGTAGACTCAACAACCTGAGAAAATTTAATTGAATTTATTGAATAGCCATTTATACCAATCATTTTATAACTTCAAAACATTATTTCTCCAATTGTATAAGCATTAAATGAATATACTTTATAAAGGTGCATCTTTTCTATTACTTTGAAATACAATGAAGAGCATTTTATAGCACTTAAACAGAAGAATGAAACTCAACAGTTTTTTTTTATTTAGTCATAAAATGACTGTCAGGGAAGGACTTATCTTCTTTCCATTTGATCTCTTCTTTAATACATAAAATTGCAGTTATTACCATAGATGCATCAAGAGGCCATTCCACTGCAATGCTCTCCGCAGGATTGGGTATATCAGGCCAACAAACCTTTTTAAACCTGTCATTGAGAAAGGAATTTTAGTCAAATGATGAAAGAAATAGATTATTAAGAGAAAAATGAACAGATCTCCAGAAAGCCCAAATACTGCTAAAATATCAAACTTTCACAAAGGAAGTCTTTCCTAAACACAATCTTTTGCATTAAAATTGTTTTCCCTCACATTAGTTTTTACTACAAAAGATCTCAACACATAAAAATCTTGGGTTACAGAGAGATTGCAGAAAAATTACTAATGCACGGAAGTAATTTTTTTTATTATGATATATGAGATCAAAAAATAGCATGCCAAAATATGGCTGTATACAAAACCTGTTGTGATCACGTTTCAGGGTGTTTCTTCAGTGAAAGGCCACCTGAGGTAAACTTTGCTCTAGGAAAGTGTCTTCAGCACTACACCACACTAGAGCTACGCTGAGTTCTTATGTTAACAGCAGACAAATGGTGCTAACTGGCACTGCAGCTTATAACTGTCCAATGGAGTAGTAAACAGGAAACAAAATTAGCCATTCATTGATACTGGGTATGTATGTAAGTGAACAAAAACCAGGTCACAGCTTGACTTTTCACACTGCGATTTGATCTACACAAGAATATAAACTCTCAACTACATCTCACAGTATTCTCCAGAATCAAAACATAGTTTCTTACTATTGTAAAAATTCAGAATACACACAGATGAAGATGTAAAAGAACTGGAAATTATACTTACTACTCCAGCTATACTTACTACCTGATGCTTATCATGACAACAATCTTGCTTCTAACAGCTTAGAACACCCGAAAATAGGGTTTTTTAACCTTCTTACTAAGCTTCAGCCAAACAACCCAGTCACTCTTCATGCTAAATAAAAGCACATATGACCTTAAAAAATCCTCACAGTCATCTTTAGGATGCTATAGCATCCCCATGCTCCAAGGAAGCAATTTAAAATCTAGCAGGGGACATCTGTGACAGCAGATAAAAGGATTCCGAATCGTGTATAGATATGGATCCATACTCATGGATCAAGCATCCAAATGCTTTCACATGATGTAATTTCTAGTTTCTTCTTGACCTCTTTACAGCTCAAGGGAAGTATCACAAACTAACAAAAGTAATATTAATGTAGCTAAGATAAGCAATAGGGGTTATGTGAAATGTGTCCAACTGGTGTACTAGTGGATATGTCAAGAATGCCTGGGAAACTTTATTTTTGGAATTACTAACTTTTCAGTAACTGACTTAAAGTATGCTCCCCTCACTTGATTGACCATAGAATTGCAAGTGGCATGTAGCGTTTACCATAAACTGACATAGGCGATATGGACATCTGTTTCTCTTACTTCTTTTGTTCTGATTTACTGCACTTTATAAAATTAGTATTTATTTTTGGGCTATGCACATTAATTATAGTTACAAGATACCCTGTATGCTTAGTTATTTGATGCTTATTTCTTAATTTTACATTGGTTTGGAACACACAAAAGCATTTATAAGATATATAAATATTTGCCTTTAGGAGTTAAAATTAACTGACTGCATTCAGTTTTAGAAGGTAGAAAATGCACTCACGTGTGTTTTTTCAAAATGCACGTTATCCAAAGAACTAACAGAAACACCATGCTTAATCCAACGGGTACAGCAATGAAAATAACATCTTCTTTATCTTTAAAGGGAAAAAAAATCCACATATGTTTATAATTCCTTCATGCATTCCCTTAAGAGGGCTAATTTTCAACATAAAAGTCACCTAATTAGCACAATTCTGAAGAGCTCTGTCAAAACTAGCCAAAATTACTCAGAATACTGTACAGTATTCATTGTATGACATATCAACAGATGACTATTTTGAATCCAACAGGTCACAGCTATTCAGCCAGAAAATCAGCTCATGATGAGACTTCTCAGGAACAGAAGTATTGCATTTTAAAATTTCCTTTTTTTAATAGAATCACAAAATAATCCAGATTGGAGGGGACATCTGTAGGTTACCTCATCCAACTTTGAAATTAGAATCAGGTTGTTTAGGGTCATACCAAGCCAACCTTTGAAAGTCACCTAGGATGAAGTGTCTACCACCTCTCTGGGCACCTGTTGTTTTAAGAGTCACCCAAAACTGCCATATAGTGCCAATTCTACCTGTTACTACAAAATAAATGGTAAATTCAATGCAGGAGATAAGTTTTAAATACAGAAAAAAATAGTTACTCTTGACTGAAACAGTGCACAGATATCTGAGCTAGCTTCCAAGTACCTGCCAGAGGTAGGTACTGATAGCAATAGAGACCAGACCTCAGCATAGTCTAACTTACCTTGCATTTGAGTAGCAAACTAGCAGATGAATTTACAGGCAAAAAATAAATTAGCTTCGACTCCCCTGACAAGTTTAAGGATAGCTCCTGCACTTTTTATATCTCAGTTTCCCCACCACTATGACAATTTATGTATGTACTGAGAACATTCTTCCAAAAGTAGAGATGAGGAAGTGTCTGAACTTCTGACCTGCAGCCACCACACCTGCCTCATTGGTAAAATCTGGCTAAAACAAACAGTAAAAAACAGGAAAAGGTATTTCCACACACACACTCGTCACAACCTGTGCACTCATTTATTAGTTAAGCTTAAACAGCAGAAGAGATGCAACGCAATGCAGAGCTGTTCTAAATCCAGTATCTCAGGTGGAAATGTCTGCTCTCTAATAAACTGTTAGGCACCCCATCCCACAACTGACAGCATACAAACTGTTGCTCCCACAAACATCCATAGCATTCCACAGCTTTACTGGCAGCATAATAGAGATTCTGGGATTTGACTTCCAATCTTGAGGTTTTAGTCTGCGAGATGACTCCCAAACCTGTTTTTAAAATAGTAATAACTAACTTGGAACATTACTTACTGAATTTCAAAGTCTTGAAGGTTTTTGGCTCTCCATTGGTTCCACCAGCTCCATTGCTTGCCATGATATAGACAGTATATTGCGTATTAGCCTGTAAGGACTTCAGTCTGTATTGCAGAACATCAGAGTTCACTGTTTCATCTTTTTAGGAGAAGAGTTATGTCAATAAACACAGAAAATAAAGTTGTATCAGAGAACTGTACACTCATTTAGCATCTTTTGCAATGATAGATCACAAAGTATTTTAAAGGCAACAAAAGCGACCTTATCAGTTCTTTGAGAGAGAAAACACTAAATTACCAAACAATGTTTATCAATGCTACTTAAAAGTTTAGGGTAAAAAAATAAACAATCCTCTACTTACTTTTTAAAATAACCACACATTTTTTGCTAATATTAAAGACAGGCAAATTACAGTCTCCTGTAGTTCATTTTGTCATTGAAACCAGTGCTTTGAGAACTTTATTTCTTGGAACCTAGGCTCATAAGTTAAGAACTTCAAATAGTTTTTGCAGCCCATGAAATTTAACTATATTCCTAGCACATGCAGTTAGACACTAATCATCCAAAAGGACGCAATCTATCAGCAGCAGGATATCACCCCAATAAAATCAGAGAAAAGCCAAAATCAACAGGAATTTTTTTCCAAGTTTCAAAATGCTTTTCTGAATAGAATTCAACATTTCCAATACCTTCTCCATTACTGGAATTAGTATGATGTGCTTCACTTCTTTAAGTGAAGGGCATATATGATAACATTCTACATCTACAAACAGTATTAAAAGCATGTTCATATTACGGAATTATGAAATTAAAGCTACTAAAACATTTTTTCCTGGTCTGGAAAGGGAAGAGGAATGATAGTGCTGCAATATACTGACTAAAGTTATCACCTGAAGATCCATCAGATTGCGTCTGAGAAGCAGAAAGGACGATGTGGTCAACAGTCAAGGCTGTACTACCATGGGTAGTACAAGACCAGTATTAAAAAAGATTAATTGAGAGCAAGCAGTGCAGTACAAAGTAAGTTCAGAACAAAGAAATTGCAAAAGAATACGCATGTAGTATTAAAGCAGGGACCAGTCACTAGAATACCACATCATTTCAATTAAACCTAAAAGAAGTTTAATCTTTATGTAAGCTACATTTTAGTACCAGTAATTTCAGACATATTTATAACATAAAATAACAAATTGTGCTAATAACTATGAAAATAACTATCTTCAGACAGCAGATTGTCATAACCCTGTTTAAAGTGTTGATGCTTAGCGTATACTTACTCAATTCTTTTCCATCTTCAGGTTTATAAAATATTGTATAGTTACTGATAAATCCATTTCTTTTATCCTTCGAAATCTCCTTCCATTTTATTGTAACTTCATTTTTCCCCGGAATGCCTGTGTCAGCCACAGGTCCTTCTGACGGCTCTACAACAGAAGCATTGTAAATTATAAAAAGTAGTAAAATAGGCTAAGTACCGCAACGTTATCTGTCTGTGTTACTTCACCCACACCAGTAACACTAGGGGCAACGACTGTACAAATAAATATGTCATCTTAATGCTCTGATATAGCCATTAACCTCCTCCACTCCTTTAATGTGTGTCCTGTTCTGGTAATACTTCCCCTCATCTATTCTGGCATTTGCATAGTCAGTGTTACTGCATCCAAATACCTCAAGATCATTAAAAGGCTCTATCATCACAACATCAGAGAGAGATCAAGAGGTAAAACACCTTATGCACTGATAGGGGAACTGAGGCACAAAGTCACTGTCTATGCAGGACGTCTCTGGCTGCGCTGAGAATCATCTGGGGTCCAGCACCCCCAGTCATTGCCCATTACATTAGAGAAAGCCTTTCTACGTACACAATACAACCTCAAGTGCATTGCTCGTAACTTTGAAGCAAGAGTTCTCTGTGCTTCTGTTTTAAAACAAATATTTTCCTACCCATTCTCTGACAACCTTTAGTACTGTCACAGTTCCCCATAAACTGGAAAGCACTCAAAACAAAGTTCTAATTGTGCTAGTAAGTATTACTTAAATATACAATACTCCATTATCCCTTCCTAGTAATGAATGCTGTTTAGTAGAGCATTGTACTATGTGTGTATGCACACATACGTAGACCTATATACGCGCACACACAAATTGAAATTTTCACCTGAAATCTTAAAATTAGCATTAAACTACATTTTTAGAGCTCCACTGAATTCACATTAAACTTCTACAAATAAAGAAACCTCCTCTCCCCTCCTCAAAACGCTATTTCATCCACAGTTGGCACCCAATCGCAAACATCATGGCTTCTTACTTTTTTATGTGCAGGACTGCAAATCTTTTGCTCCTTTATAAAATTTAACAAAAAGCAAGCTTTTCAAAGCATCCATTTTATTCTGTGAGTAGAATTTCCACATATATTAGGACTGATAAATGCAGTCAAGTATTAAAATCAAGTCTAATTATATATGTAAATGAGCTGCAACATTTAAGAGATAGCCAGTTTAAAGAACTATTTCATGTTTGTGGCTACATTCTTTCCAAGTGCTTTGCACACAGTATGTAAACTTTACAACAAATGAGTGAATTCAAGCAGCAATGTACCTGTATCACAAGATACAAACTTTCTTTACTGAACAATTCAGTAACTGATCAATGAACAGAAATCAGGAAGCCTGAATCCTGGGTTGTTGTTTGTTTTTTTTTCAGCATCTACATCTCTCCTTCAGTAATGCCAGTACCAAATTGCTCAAAGATAATGCACTCAGAGACAGACTACAACACACATTTCACAACATTATTAAATACATACTTTTTTCTTGAATGTACGTTTGTATTGAATATGGAGCTCCTACTTTATTTCCATAGAGAGGATACACCGAGATGTTATAGCATATAAATGGCTTAAAGTTTTCTGTAAAGGAAAAAAGGGAATATTTACATACAATTCTCTGTGTGACATTAATAAAGTGAAAGTAGAATAAATCACAGTGCAGTTTAAATATATTGTTACAGACCTCTATTTTGTTCAATATTTTAGCAGGCGCGATATATATTGCCTCAAATGCTCATTACTGCCCTTAACGTAGTTAATTTTATTTAGTAGTATCCGTAACAGCACTTGGTTTCTGACTCATTTTTCACTAGAAATACTTTGAATGGTTAATTATATGTCAGCCTCATACAGCTTCTCTATGCAAAGCCACTTATTCATCCCGTAACAGCTTAAGGTTTAGAGGAAGTGCTTAAACATGGAATCTGTAGCCTAATCTTACATGGGAGCAAACACCATCTTGCATGGTGTGTGAAAACTTGAAAGTTAAAACTGCTACTTAATTACATGCAAAGATTTCAGTAAAGCAAGTAATAATACTGTTGTTTTTAAAAATTATCTGAGGAAAGCTGGATGAGTTCATTCTTGTTTGTTCCTTCCAGTCTATCTATAAATAAATATACATAAATACATATATATATCTTGTACATTGTTACAGCTGTAACTGATAAATGAACATACTTTTGTTAGTTTTCCAGTTTGTAGAATTTGATACGTATTGCCATGATCTACCAAAAGGATCTGTCTCCAATTCCTCATACCACTCAACTACATATTTGTTTACTTCTGGTTCAGAGGCTATCCATTCCACAACCACTTCTTCATTTGTTGTAAAGGTCCTCACAGTTTCAATAATCTGAGAAGCTAAAAATTTAACAGAAAATGTCAGTAATTCTATCTTCATAAAAACGGCAGTAAGAAAACAATTAAATTATAGAAAGCTGAGATTGCTTCCTTAGAAGCACCTTCATCAAGGGTAAAAAAAAAAGCTGAAAAAGTTACTTTACACCTATGTTACATGCATGTACTCATACTACTTTAAAATGAAGCATATAAGAATCGTTACAATGAAAAGGGGTGGAGGTGGGATTGAGATGGTACTCAGGGAGGTTTACACATGCAAAATCAAAGACCAGTCTCTCCTTTAGGATCTGAATTTTACAGTTTGTAACATTTTAGAAACCAATTTACTACCAATTTCACATGTAGTGCAGATAAGCAAGTTTTGATTGAGATGACAAAGGCAATAGAAAAACAGTAAATCAAGTCAGCAAGGTCATGAAATGGCAGTGAAGCAAAAGTGAACCGTCAACCTGCACAACAGAGGTAATGAAAGCCTGAGTGAAAACCCAACCTGGCAAAGCAGAGGGGAAAAAAGAGTAAAGCATGTCCCACCATGGAAAAATCAGAAAAACATTTACTGTGGGGTGCAGAAGTGGACAGAGAGGTAGTCAGCAACCTCCAGGAAAAGACTGTATCATGCCTACATATCCACTTTTCTGATTAGACTGGAATTTGATTGCGCAATTCCAGGGGGACACTCTCACTTATTTCATGAACAATTGACATAGGAGAAGTGACTCAAGTGTGTCAAATGCAACCTCTCTTCCGGATCATGGGTAAGCAGCAAGATGTTGCAATACAGGGCTCACGGAGATACCAGAATTAAACATAAAAGCCAAAGGACACAACTGTTGTGCTAGAGCAGACCAGCTTCCTGACCCTGGCAGTGGGTGGGATGGGGTAGTTTAGGAATGCATACAAAATAAGAATAAACACAATGTTTCCCTCTCTGCTTCCACTGACGTATCTTAGGGACTCCTATTAAACACATCTTTGAAAGACGTTGTTAAGTGCACTGCAATAATGCCCAGTGGTAACCAACTTTATGACCTAGTAGAGGGATGAGACATAACTGGGTGGGACTCCATGTAATTTGGGAGGTCTGAGGTTAAAAAACCAAAACCAAAAACCCCTCAGAAAGTAGGAAAATAGAAATTCTACTAAGACATCAGAAAGTGCTGACATCTTAAACAACTATATCTCATAACAGAAAACCCCAACAGTAATAGTCTGTAACAAAAACATGATATGTGATAGCAAAATATGACAACCAGATAATATTATTCTAGTAAAAAGTAATGGACTACACAGCTTTGTACAAAATACAGCTCTACATATATAGATCTATGACAGAAGTCCTTAGCACAATTTTACTTCCACTATAACAGAATTTAAACAGAAGTCAGGAAGATAATTTTTTTGTTAAAGGGAAAAAGAATCACCATACTGAGAAATCTTACTTTTTTCACCAGTGGATGGAATCCTCAAAATAGCTTCAGGAGAATCTCCAGCATAGTTATAGGCAGCAACAGATGTTATATATGCCTCTTCATTTAAAAGTAAAATAATTTTCGTATCAGTAGAGATGTTTGTCATTTTAACTGTAGCATTGTTTTCTGGAAAATACTGTATTTTGTAGCCTAGAATTCTCCCAGAAGGTGGAAAGCTGTTTAATGGCTATTAAGAAAAATATGCAGTAGTAAGTGTTTCACAGTGTTATTTGTACAATCAAAAGCATATATTGTATTGAAGAGTCCAGATCAAATTACAAAATGATTATACTGTATTCAGAAAAGCAAGGTACTTCCTTCAGTCCCATCTTCAGGGCAGTCAGCTGCAACAATTTCATTGAAGGAAAGGTTCAAAAGTCAAATACTGATATTTGAAACACAAAGCGCCTTTGGTCACTCTAAGATTAAAGTGAATTTAAACACAGCTTTGGTAAGCCGTACTATTTAAGAGCAGTTCTAAGGACTTTCAATCAGATTTTGCAGTGATCTGAACACAATTAAACCCTTCCTTTCTGCACAGATTACAAAACTCTATTCATCTGCCATTCAGTAAACAAAAGCCTTTTCAATTCTGCTTTAGTTCAGTCAGGTTTTTTTCTGATGACAGCAAAACCCCTTGACAGTTATATGTTCTGGGACTTCAACGCAACATCAGCTGCAGGATACCAGTATGACTGTCAATTCAAAAAAAGAGTATTTATATGTTTATCAATTCAAAAGAGAGCGTATACCTTCCACATAAGATGTACAGATCTACTTCCAGTTGAGTGTGAAGACTCAATTACCCTCCACAAATCCACTTTTTCTGAAGGAGCTATTTAAAGACACAAAAATATCTTGAAATTTGTTATGTTAAAAAGATAGTGTAATATAGTAAAAACAATCAAAAGGTTTCAAAAATACCATCTGAGAGGAACTTATTAAAAAGTTTTCCCTTGTGTAATGCTGTGCCTTTTTCCTCTAATTCGTACAGTTTCTCTCTTTCCGTATGTTTCCTCTACTTTCTTTTATTTGTAAAGTTCTAGAGATTTTCTAGTCGTTTTACAACTGACAATTCAATTTCTCTACTTGTAATTCATTTTATTGGACACAGTTTTACACTACATTTCTGCTGCTGTCCTACTTAGCAATGTTCACCCTCCATCTACACTCTTAATTTCTCCTCTCTGCACTATCTATTGACCCATTTTATTCCTTAGCCCTATGTTGTTTGCATCACCTTTCAAATCTCCTCTACTCCTTGCTCTCATCTTTCAGTTTTCCCTCCTCTATATTTAAACAAAAAACATGTGTTCTGTTTAAACAACAGAGTTCTAAATTCAAGAGACTGATAATATGCTGAAAATACAGCTTTCCATTATTAAACCCCGAAGTATAACCAAAGGAAAACTTACTAAATAGTAAGCCTACCTTTCTCTTCTGTGCTTGCTGTTATCTCTCTACTCCATTCACTCCAGATTACTGACTCAAAACTCCTACACCGAATGGCGACTGAATATTCTGTGGAGTCCCACAGACCTGTGAGATTACATGAACCTGTTTTCTCTGCAAAATTCAGTGGGACAGTGACAAATTCCTGAAAGTAAATACATGAACAAAAATTATTTGCTATGAAACCGCATGCAGATACATGAGTTTTTAAAAAAAAAACACAAAGGATGCAGCTTTCATGTTTCCCACCTCACTCCTCTGAAACTCAAAATTACTTGTTTCATATTTCATTTTTCTGTGTAGCACTTTCATTCTTCCCATAGAATCAAAGAATCGTTTAGGTTGGAAAAGACCTTTAAGATCATCAAGTCCAACCATTAACCTAACCCTGCCATCCCACCGCTAACTCCAGGGTTTGAAAAACTTTAGCAAAAACTTTAGCCAAAACTAGGTCTGTACTGACTGACCTGCGGCGTGAACTGCGTGCAGCCCACACGCAATTCTAGAGCAGCTGTGCTGGCACAGGGAGGTGCTGGACGACTGCAGTTCCCGCTGTGGGGGAGCAGCTGGGTATTGCTAAAGCCCGTGTCACCGCAATGTCCTGGGATACAGCTCCACCTCACAGCAGAAGCGTCCCTGGGAAAGCAGCGGTCACCCGCAGCTTGTGAGCCAGCTGGATACTTGTTTCTTTCCTGAGTTACGGGGTCTTCTAGCCCTCAGCCATACAACAGTGTGGCTGTAGGCCATCCCAAAGATTATCAGCGTATGATTAAAATGAAAAGACCAATGAAAACACAGAAAATTCTGGTACCAAGAGAAAAAAAGAAGATGGAGCCTTTAAGTGATGAAGGAAGGAAAGAGTATGAGAAATAACCAATGCAGTATCTTCTTGGAAAAGTAACGACAAGGTAATTTCCTCATCTTAAAAGGAGCCCACTCACATCTCACTGATGGAAGTCAGAAGCTAGATTGTTCCAAAACAAAAGGTTAAAGAAGACATGAAAACCGGGAATTGGAGTTGATGCATCAACTCAACCGTACTGACAATGGAATGCAGAGGAAAACAACAGGAACTATAGGATTGATACGATCACTACTCCAACATTAATGTGTGCTCCTCCAAATTGCAGAAAGTAATCAATAATTAACAACTCTTCTCCCCTCAAATTTCAGATGACTGAAACAGAAAGATGCTAAAAAAATGTTCAAGCTAGCTAAGCTCGAAGAAGGTCAGCAAAGGTTAAGACTTGGAATTAGGAGGATTCCCTCTTGGGAGCCAAATGGAAGTAGCAATGTCACAAAGATTTACAACAACAGGGCCAAAAACCTGTGGAAGAAGTTCTTGTTTTCCGCCAGTTGAACCTTCCAATGGGAAGTGAATCAAACTAAAACAATACAAAATGCAGACACCCACTCCTTTGAACCCCATAATGGGAAATGCACTGCCTGATGGAACTGGAAATTTAGTCCATTCTGATCTCAAGAAACTCACTGACAAAAATAGAAAACTGTTCCAATGAGAATGAATTTGGGGATCTACAAACCACTGCTAGAGGACTCTTTAGCCAACCTGCAATAAAAAGGGCTTCAAAATTATTGTCAACCTCCTGCAGAACATAACATAGAATTGCAGACACCCCAGACTAGCTTTTAGTTACTTGCTAGAAGGCTGTTAGCAATATTTAATTATCATGAGAAATGATATGCAAGTATATGCATATATGCAATCATATGCAAGTATAAAGATAGGTCATCTGTTTTTCACTCAGTAAAAACAGTTCACAGCAAACTATTTAGACTGTTTTGGTAGGAAGGCTTAAAAGGTCAAGAAAATATCTGTCATTTCCTGAAACCTTCTTTTTTTTTTTGCATATATATGCTGACAGATAGAAAAACAGCTCCTGTATCTAACTGATGTTTTGAGGCTGCCTTTGTTGGCCATTGCCATTGGATTGGCTACAGGCAAAACTAGGAATCATGCCTGTCTAAGATCCCATAGAACTAAGCTCACTGGATTTTTTTCTTTACTGATCATGGCTACTGTTTTTTCTCCAGAGTGTCTGTGGAAAAATGCAGGTAAGTTCTGAGGAAGAAAATGGATGTAGACTGTATCTGATAGTGAAAAAGTAGACAGGTTGATTTCTTATGCAGGTGCTGATAAACAGACACAATACAAAATAATGCTGTAACTTCACAAAAATGTGAACATTTTCAACATTTGGGAAGGATCTCATATGCATGAAAGCATGACAAGGACAGTGTCTTGACTCTAAAGGGATAAATATCTTGAACATGTCTTTTAAATAAGTATTAGTTCAGTTTCTCATATCCCAGGTGGACCTGAGCCATCCTGTCCATTAGATTATCCCGAATACTATATCCTGAACCCAACAACTAATATGTCATATCTATAGTAAAAATGCTTAACATGAGAATGTGAGGAGGATGCTAATTAGAAATATTCTTAGTATCAGGAACTTTCTTAAAGCTCTGAGGGCTACTGTTAGTTTCTCTGATTAATTCTTCTTTCCCAAAATTACACATTTAAAGTGTATGATAGTAAGGTCAAGGCAGACATGTCAGTTTGATGAACTTAAAAACCAAGCCAAGCAACTTGGACCATTCTTAAATTCAGAGAAGGAAACAGTAAGACTGCAAACAGAATCAATTCCATACCAAGGAGCATTGGAATAGGCCACCTGAAAGAAGCAAATTACTAAATACTGTTTTTTCTATAACAGGTCCATTTAAGTGTCAGAAAGACAAACTCAGAAAAATAATTTCCCTTACTTTCCATCTTGCAAAACTTACACTTTAATTTACTTGAAAACTAACGTATCATTAGTTCATCTTAATCTGATTCAACTATTGTGGTTGGGAGTAAATGCTGTTTTCACCACCAGAATGCGACAGGAGAATAAACTGTTATGACTGACTGTGTGTGCAGTCCCTTAGCCTAAAGTCATCCCTTAGCCTTTCATAGAAATATAGTCAGAAATATCGTATGTACCAAAAGAAGACACTGACCAAGAGGAAAACAACAATTAATCCTAGACAACAAACAATGACCTTAAGATCATGCATACCTAACTATGCTCCACTAAAATAACAAGGTTTTAATCATTACTTCCAACTACTTACTGCCTTTTTCTAATTAGCCTTTTATAACATTAAGAAATCAGCCACAAAGAAGCTAACATTCAGAAGAAAATTTATGTAGCTTACCGAAGAGTTTGAATACAAATTTCGGTACTGCACCTCGCAAGTGAAATTTTGTGAAGGGATAACATTCTCAGGCATTTTCCAGGTTACTGTAAGCAACTGCTTTATACCAGTGATTTTTTTAACTGAAAGTATTTCAGGAGGTTCATATTTCTCTAGAATGGAGAAACAAAAGCATTAACAGGGGAAAATGCTGCTATAAAAGTTCAGAATTGCTCCATCTGTCTGTGTTCCAGGAAGTTTAATTATTATCCCAATAATGTACATCCTATCAGAGTATTGACATGATGGTCTATTTTATGGACATAACTCTACATTATGAAAAGTTACCTATAAGAGGGATGGCACAAATAACCGATTTAATGCTGACAAACCCGCTCTCAAACAGATGTGCAGATTTCTTTCATCTGTATCAGCACTGCAGAATACTACTCAGAGACGACAGCAGCAAGGAAAAGAAACGAAGCGGAGCTGGGAAGCCAAAGTCAAGTCCAATCTGCAGATGAGGGAAGAATTCAGTTGAAAAGGATTTGGGGCAGAGAGAAGTGTGAAGGAAAAGATGGGAGGAGAATGGATTAGCACTGAGAAAAGAGATGGCTGGTATAGAGGATGAGGAGAGTAATGAGGAGCCACTGCAGTTCTGAACACAGGGAGTAAAGGAGTATATGGCTGGAGAGCTGATGGAGCGCCGCAGCAAAAATACTCAGTTAAAAGGGTCGTTGATTAACTACACCAAAATGAACAGAGGAAAATGCAGCACAGCGCAGAGAGAGAGGAGGTAGACAAAATATTATTATTGCTCCTGGGAACCGCAGAACCGGTGGCTTTTTAACATTCCTAACCAGAAAGTATACTAGCAGAGTAAATAAAGGGTGGACCTGGAGAAATTATAGTATCACTATTTGTTTAGAGCCAGATATTGCACTAACATCTAGTACCACTCAAAAACACAAAAGTACAGTCCAAGTACCATTCAGTCTGACAAAAAGTTTTAATATGCAGCCTTTACTTGTTAATTATTAAAAACTTAATGATTTATAATGGATATGTCAGACATTAGCTTAAAAAAATAGTTATAGCTAGACATTTCATAGTATGAATACAGCACACTATAATTTTTTACCACCTCTCAGTAAGACCAAGAAATTGCTGAAAATTGCTGCTGTACCACCAGCCACTCTGAAGAATTTTACATGGCCATCAATTAACACATAACAAGTGGATTGCAAGCATCCAAACTTTGATGGCAAAAAATTGTGAAGGATGAAACATTTTATCAACCATAAATGTAAATTCAGAGACTTCATAATCTTAGCTAACAATTAAAATTAGATGGCACTTCAGAACTGAAACCAATTTAAACCCAAATGAAACCCAAAGAATAATTTCAAAACTATTATATTGAAAACATATTTTTTCATTACTTTCCTCTATGTAAACCAACTTTGATTACACAATTTGTTTCAGAATTCTCTAACCTGTATGCTACAGGGAGGGAAAAAGAATTGGGAAGGGTGCAGTCAGCTCAACCTACGCTGCTTTTTCTTTATTTAACTTTTTTTTTTTTTTTTAATTACCTATTTTTTCCAAAGGTATAGGAACACAATCTGATGAGGCTTCACCCAAAACATTTTCAGCTTTCACCTGAAAACAAAAAGAACTAATGTATGGAGCATCCGGGTAATAAAATGAACATGACTCCGTTTTGTTTTGGCAGGAGCGATTAGCCACCCCTCCTTCTGTCATCCTAAAAAACAAAAGAGAAAAATAAAAGGAGTTAGAAATTAGAGGATTATCTTAGAATAACTCAAACTGATTGTTGGGCTACTATTTAATTATTGTTTATATGTTTTTGAGGTTGTAGGACATTTTTACCAATGAACATCCTCTCAGATTATATGTTTGTGCAAATGAATACTCTTTCCTAACTGCACTGCTTCTGCAAATGCATATAAATAGCCTGCATAGACTCAATTAGTTTTAATTGCAATTAGTGAGAGAACTTTCCAGGAGCAGTAATTAAAGAGTAAAAATGCCTTAGTAGGGGATCCACATGTTATTAGTATTTTAGAATAAAATCTCAGAGAAGTGAAATCATGTAACCCCACACAAGAACTCCTTTAAAAATAGATAGACAGACAGACAAATGGATATAACTAGTAACACATACCACATGGAACTCTGTGATAATCAGCTTTCATTCATCTTTTAAATACAGAAAAAAACGCCAAATTGTACCATTGCCAAGCTATTACAAGGTAATAGAAATTTGACAGATTTTCCTGGGAGAACACACTGATAATATGCTTTTTATAGCACAAACTTTCATAATAAATAGTTTGGGATGCAAAACTAACAAAATTTGTTTCTTTTTACTGACCCACAGCAAAATTCTTCAACAATTAAAAACTCATACATGGGGCCTGGGTTAAATATTTCATATTGTGCAGTTAGCAAGCAGATCATTCACCTTCAAAATTGTATCTGAGATCTGCCTTGTAACAACACTGATTTCACCATTTTCACAATAGCTTATGACAAGGTAAGCTCCTAAACAATATTTAAAATTTAATTGAATTTGAAAGAATCGAGTATTTATGCTTCTATAACGGGGTCACAAAATCACCAACAAGCATGAGACTATGTAATTTGTATTTACAAAAATACAAATCCCCAGATGTGAGCAATCCAAAAAGGACAACTCACTCTGGATTCTTTCACTGAAACCTTGTGACTCCAAAGGTCCCTACGTTAAACCCCACTGGTGCCAAGCAGAAAAACAGGGGCTTTAACAGGTTTAACTGGGAACTGTTTGAAGTAGAGGAGGAAGTAACCTTTTTTACCCCTCCAAAACAAGGATAGTTATTAACACAGAAAGTTTCTGGGTAACTCTCCCAGAAAGTCCCTCCATTCTCCATTTGTACCTAGGCTCACTCAGCTTTTGATCTAACTAGTAACGTTACTTCAGGTAAACAACTGCATATGAATTCTGATGTAAAAATTTTCTACTGAATATTGGATTGAGCATGCTCATTTCCTTTATACCATGTACTAAAAATGTATCCGGTTGTAAATTGTTTCAACCATTATCAACCCCAAATTAATTGAATTTACTGAGGCAATGCCATAACTCCGAACCCCATGACGTTTCCAGGTCTTCTTTAAATGGAAGTCAGGATATAAGGGTAAAGGAGCCGGTGGTCTCACCCCAGTAACCCAGTTCCCAATACATCCTACACTTACACTTTTCGGTAAAGAGTATAGTTTGTTGTAAGATTTGTTTCTCTTCCTGAAGTCCAGGTGCAGGTAAGTTCAGCATCAAAGGAATAAATGCAGGAAATATTTCTTGGTGTGTCTGGTGGAACTACAATGACAATGGTTGGGGAAAAAAAAAAAGTCCAGTAAAAATAAGCAACTTTAATGTACAACTGATTTTGCTGGTCAAAAAGCAAAAAGATTATGGCAAACTTCACTAAGTATTTTGTATAGCACTTCCTTTTGTAATTTCTTACTGCCCCCAAAAGTCCTCACAAAACTAAAATCAAAGCCACTCTTTCTTCCCCTGGGGAGACAGGGAGGTTTTCTCCAACTATTTCTCAGAAGTACTTAACTAAGTGGGCCTGAAGGTATTTCTGCAGTAACTCATTACTATCTTATATCTTATATGAAACCACTAAATACATTGTCCTGAACCTCTAAGTACAACCCCCACAACATGCCTGTAGCTCAAGGCCAGTCCACAGAGTAAGAGGAAGCAAAGAAACAGCACAGAAGTTCAGGAAAAGGCACTCTCTGAAAGGTAAAGCTCCTCTTGGTTCCTTCTTAGAATGTCTAACCACATACTCTATGAAAAACCCTAATCTGAGGAGCCTGCGAGACCTCAGAGTGCAGAAGATAACTTCCTGGGAAACATTATCTATATGACCTTGAAGAGATTGCTAATTCTGGACTCTCTTTATCTTATAGGCAAGATAGCGCAAAGGAAACAACCCTCTGCAATCTCTAGTCTGAATTAGCCCGTAAAAACGTAACACCCTCAAAGGCTTCTTCATTAAAGACAGATTTCTTCACTCGACAGAAAAAATTGCGGTTCAAAGGAAGAGAACTGCACCCAGTGAAATAAACTGGTTGAAAAAGCCCTCTTTCCAAAATAGTATTTTTCCATCCGACCTGATACAACACTCAAAAGATCTTTCTTTTATCAGCAAGCTTGTGGCACACTGATCTTTGCAGACAGGCAATACCTTCTGCTGGTTTTTATTCCACAGATGTATTTTTCCGCATTTATTGCTTCTCTACTAGAATGGGACCTCCAGGCATACATTAGTATAATCTGAATTTAATCTGTTCAATAAACTAGAGAATTTGTATACATACTTATCCTGTAGCCTTCCCCATAAGAGACTGTAATTATAATTTCTTTGGAACAGACGATTAGAGAGGAAATCCTCCCTGGAGAAAGCTAAAGTTGGCTAGGCTAGACAAAAGACATAACCAAAGAAACAGACTCAGGGCCCTCTGAACTCAACAGAAAACCTCCACTCGCTTCAGCTGGCCAAAAGTCAGGGTGAGAGAGGTTATGGACCAGTGTCAGTAAGGAATGCCTGCAATTTCGTACTTTATTTCAGAGAAAAAAAAAAAGATACTTGAATACAGGTGTCTTACAATGCCACAAGCTAAAAAAAAAAGTAGTTGTTTTAAAAGTAAAATTTTACAGTAAGTTACTAAAAAATGCTAAAATTAATTTCTACTTACAGCCAGATTTAACTTCAGTGTGAACCAGAAGTTGTTCCTTGCCCAAATACTTAGTGAAACATTTCACATGAGCTTTGCTGTAAGTGAAATTACGGATGGTTATACTAGATACGGTCTCGTTCACAATGTTATAGTTTTCCTGAGCAATCAATTCATGATTCAATTTCCAGATGATGTGGCTTGCATTTCTGTGAGGTGTGTAGTGTTTTCCAAGAACACAAAACATTTGCAGGGTGGATCCTCTTTCAATTTCAGGGGACGAAGGAAAAATGTCAGCATCTCTGATAGAGTTTTCATCTAAAAACAAAAGCAAAGATATCACATAACCTAATTCCTTTTAAAATACCAGTGGAAAAAAATATAATTTATTTTGTTGTCTACAGATCGTTAAATCAGATTTTTTTCATATGGTGTTCAAAGACAATGCTCAGTTAGTCACTCTAATCAGATACTGCTGTTTGGAAACTCAGTTCACATTAATTACTATATTACCATAGGTATTACATAAGAATGCTGTTTCTATACCATTCTAGAAGTAATGGAGAAATTTCAATTCAAATGCTTTTTAGTATCTGAAAATGAAGAAGAGAGACTCTTACCTTTTAATTCTGTTTTTAAAAACACTCCTATATGGAAAAGGTATGCATACCATTTAGATGTTATCATTACTAATTACTATATCAGAAAATACATCTTAACTGGTAAGTTTGTAATTTACAATTAAGCTTCAATATATTTCAATATCTCATTAGTATTTTTTCCCCTCATAGAATTTATATTCCCAGACACAGTGCACGAATTGTATGCAAAATGCATGGAAAAAGGAAAACACAGAAGCAGACTGAATGAATGAATTCAGCAACGAAGTTATCAACAGTGCAAGATTCACCCATTAGTGTCCTGCAAGGAGCTGGCTCTTTATTGTTTTGCTGCTACTTATTACTTGAAGCCAATTTTCGTAAATATATCTGTTAAATAAAAATGAAGCCAAATTTCATAAATAATTCTGTTAAATAAAAACACACACACCCCAACTTTTACAGATAGAATTTCTTTGCTAGAATTTAGGAATGAAAGGGAATCAAATACTAAACTTTCTTCCTTGTTTTCTGGTAATTCCTTTTTGGGTGTATTAACTGTAAATTGCTTTCTATGGGGTTTTTTGGTGTCTTTTTTGTTTCAAAGTAATTTCTTTATGTTTTAAAGTCATACTAATGGTTATTTTACACTGTACTGCACAAATTTTACTGTATATCAGTTGCAAGCCATTACCTGCACTGTTCCATGTATTGTTCAAGCTGCTACAAACATATGCGCTCCTCTTCCATCCCAAAATCCCCCCAAAATTTATGACACAAATACCATTATATAATAAATGACTGCTGTGTGTTAAGTTGTATGTGATAAATTGCACGTGAACTTTTAGTTATTGTCACAAAGTCCTTATTTCAATCTGTCCTTGTGATTTCCTATTATAACCTATACTATTCAACTTAATCAGCTTAAAGTGGCACTGTCGCCACAAGAAGCACTTTTAATCCTCGATCACCCCACTGCTGTTATCTCCTTTGTGTGCCAGAAGAAATGCCTGTGTAGTGAATCAAAACGAAACTGACACAGATGAAAAATAGAAGCTTGGCAAAAAAATAACATTGTTCTCCACACTGGATTCCTCACTGCTTCACATCTCGCCCCTCAAACATGCACTCCAGCAGAAGGAGAGGGAGATGAGAGATGGAGGGAGTGCGGAACTACCTGCTCTTCCAACTTCAGCAGTTGCCTATGCCACCTTAAACTGACTGTGGAACTACCACAGTTAAAAAAAAAAAAATAAGTAGTACACATTGTTAGGTGACTTTTAAAATTAGGAAGGAGAACATTAGTAGTCATTGCATGACTCTCTGAATAGGTAATATTTGACTTAAAACAGTCCAAAACCTGCAGAACCTGCAGACATTAACTGCATGTTAAGTGTTCATGTGTTACATAAACTTTAATTCATTCCATCAGCAGATCTCCAAAGTTACCAGCCCTTACAACCCAACAAGAACTGAACTATGCTATGAATTCCAGATGCAGATTCCCTTTTTATATCCTGTGCAACAGGGAAACAGTTAATGAAGTTGGTGGGGTTTTTTTTAATACTTTAAATACAAAAGAAAACAAATCCAGGCTATCATGATCACAACATTCCACAAGAGGACATCAAGAGTGCCATAAATTAATTTTTCTCTCTATACTACACACTACTTAGTCAATCACCTACTAATTTCTATTTGTAAAATACATTCTTTTCATTTTCAGAACTCTTCGAAATACCAGTTGGAAAACTTTCTTATGGCAAGACAGGTGCTAATAATCAAGAAACTTACCTGCTATAGAGCTGCAGAACAGGACGAACATCCAAATCAAACAGCTGAACATTTCCTTTTCAGTAACTATGGGCAGGAAATGCTGTGAAAAAATAAAAATAAAAATAATATACTCCAAGTAAAGATGCCCCTGTAATACTTTGTAAGCACTTGTATAAGAGTCTGTAATGCTATTCAGCATTTCTCACTTGCATTCAAGTTAAGTATTGCTTCGTCTAAGTTGCTTTGTCTAATTTCCTGCACAATGGGAGAAATTTGATGCAGTTTTCCTAAGATGAGTATGTACATTTCCTATAAAGAACAGAGACGTAAGTGCGCCTGAAATCCTTCTGAGGGCAGTCCAATCCACCGAAGTAATTTACTTTCCACGGACCATGTAAAGAATCAACAAGAAATATATCTACACCCACCTGAAATCCAGCCTGCCTAGCCATCTTCTGAGCAGATTCACTTCACAGAGTGAATTCTTTCGAAAAGAAAGGCTGTTGCAGGAGAAGGAATGATCCGCATGCCTTGTGCATCACCACCTAACAAAAAACAGTTCAGGAAGTGGGCAACAGTCCCAGGTCATCATTCACCCAAGAGAGGGTGAATTCACATTGGTTTTATCCCAGCCAAGTGTCCCAGGCACCAGACTCGAGGACACCCTGCAAAGGCAAGGGAAGGCACCCTTCTTTGCTTTGCTCTTTGAAGCTGAACTGCTGTGTGGCCAGAAAAAAACCCAATTCTGGGGTAAGGAGGAAAGCAAAGAAGTAGAAGTATTTTTTCTAAAGGTACAGCTGAATCTAGGGTTCCAGGGGAAAAATGCCAGAAATCAAACACTCCCCTTGCCTCAAGCACTGCTGTCATCAGTCAAAGAATCAGAGAGGAGTTGAGAATGGAAAGGACCTCTGGAGGTCATCCAGTCCAACCACTGTGCTCAAGCACAGCTGCCCAGAGCCAGTTGCCCAGGAGCACGGCCAGACAGCTTTTGAAGGTCTCCAAGGATGAAAAGTCCACAACCTCGCTGATCAACCTGCTCCAGTACTCAGTCACCCTCACAGTGACAAAGTGTTTCCTGATGTTCAGAGGGAACCCCCTGTGTTTCAGTGTGTGCCTACTGCCTCTTGTTCTGTCACTGGGCACCACTGGGAAAGACCCTGACTCTGCCTTCTTTGCACCTTCCCTTCAGGTATTTTCGAGTTTCCCCCGAACGTTCTCTTCTCCAGGCTGAATAGTCCCAACTCTCTCAGCCTTCTCCCATATGACAAATGCTCTAGTCCCTTAACCATTGCTGTGGTCATTCATTGGACTCTCTACAGTAGCTCCATGTCTCTCTTGTACTGAGAAGTCCAGAACTGGACACAGTACTCCAAGTGTGGCCTCACCAGTGCTGACCTCACTTAACCTGCTAATCTAACGCAGCCCAGGATATCACTAGCCTTCTTTGCCACAAGGGCACATTGCTGGCTCATGTTCTACCTGGTGTCCATCAGGATACCCAGGGCCTTTTCTGCAAAGCCACTCTCCAGCTGGTCAGCCCCCTGTCTGTACTGGTGTCTGGGGTTGTTCCTCCCCAGGTGCAGGATTTGGCACTTCTCCCTCTTGAACTTCGTGAGGTTCCTGGCAGCCCATTCCTCCAACTTGCCAAGGTCCCTCTGGATGGCAGCATGACCCTCTGGCATACAGCCACTCCTCCCAGTTTTGTGTCATCAGCAAACTTGCTGAGGGCATGCTCTGCCCCATCACCCAGATCATTAATGAAGATGATAAACAGGGCTGGATTCAGTACTGACCCCCAGGGTGCACCACTAGACACTGGCCATCAAACTAGATTTTGTGCCACTGGTCGCTACCCTCTGGGCCCACTTGTTCAGCCAGTTTTCAATCCACCTCACTGTCTGCTCACCCAGCCCATGCTTCATCAGCTTGTCTGCCAACAGCCTCCATCTGTACAGCGGCACAGCTCCAACATGAAGGGCAGATACACTGCAACCCAGACTACTCCTTTGGCTAGTAAGTAGGAGGTGTGCCTGTAGAAAACAGAGGTTTCCGGTCCCCTTCAGCAGATGAGGGCCCAGGGCCCAATATTTGTACTTAGTGGACAAGCAGCTCTAGCTACTACGTTCATAAGCAAAAGGTGGGCATTACTATTGCTGCAGTTAGTTAGGGTCCCTGTTTCACATAAGGTTTTCTGAGGAGCTACTGGGTTTTCAGCTCTCCATGCAAACCTGTATCTCAGGAGGACTCCAGGTGGGGGGCAAGTGCTATCTCCCTAGAACAGGTACACCGGCAGCATTCAAGACCAAACAAGGCATCTCCTCCTCTCTCAGGTTCAGACAACGCTAGGAACCAGGTGCACAGCAGGTCACTGTTTGAGACAGAGAGCTATCGGTGGGATATAGGCAAAAGGGGTTCTGCTCTACATTACAGTCCCTTCCACAAAATCTTCCTGGTTTTGCTACAAAATAAAGTTTTACAGTAATCTAAAAGAGCAAAGCATAGTAAAAAAAAAAAACGCTTTGTGCTCAGTTTCTGCCAGAACTCATCTTAAACATTATTTTCAGTCTGTCTCAGAAAGCATTTTTATAAACTTGGCGGCTCTGACAGTGCAAAACAGGAGAAAAAAACCAAAAAGGACACATGGGATAAAAAGAGAAATAAGGGAGGAGTTTGCCCAGTGACACTCCTAAAATATAGCTGTATCAAGACTCGTACCAACAAGAAACAAAGCAGTTACAAAAAGAGAATCTATTACTACTTTAATTACCTAGGGTGTCAGTTCTTATTCTCAAAGCAGGAAAGACGAATTACGCTATTGATGGCAATAAAAACAAAGAAACTTAACCAATTGTTCCAAGTATTCTGCACCAGTAGGTGCAGAATTAAAAAGAGATGCAGATTTAAAAATATTTAGATAGTTTTTTTAAATTTTAGAATATAGTCTATAGCAATGTTGATGAGATTCAAGTTCCACTCTGTTAAAGCTAAGAATATATTTTGTAAGCACTGAAGTGTGTATTTATTCTTATTACATTTTTTAAAGTTTAAGAAAGATACCAAAGTAAAAAAATCAGTTCCAAAGTCATGGCTACAAGAAAGCTACATTCCACTGAAAAATAAAGAAAAACCATAACGATGACTCTAAAAAAGGCTTCGTAAGTACACACACCAGTGATTGCTATACTGCTGTGGTAAACACTGATGTCGTTAGTACTTCATTAGCTAAGAGACTAGTAGCTGCAGGAAACCAACACACTTCAAAGATGATTACCAACATCAACAAAACCAAGCAAAATAAGCAAGCACACTACAAGATGATATGCCTAATCAAAATGATCTGACAGAGGAGGAATGGTAAGCCAAAGACAAATCAATGATGAGTTACAGATGCTACACTGGCATAAGCATTTTTTTAAAAACTTTAAAAAGAAAACAATTTTATTAGTCAAATAAAACGTTTTTGCAACAGCTCTGTGAATATGGCTTTAATCTTGGAGGATATAGTCATTCATGAGAATACCAAATCCTGCGTGGCATGAGAAGATAAGTGTACATACCATTGTTTACGGGAAAGTGCTTAAGTCATTTAGTGTAAATAATAAAGCTCTTCTCTGCAGACTGCTAGCAACACGAAATAAAAGCTTACTGCATATTCTGTATTGTGAAGACTTCATGAAATAAGACCAATGGTCCAAAACACAGGCTTTCAACTTGCCTGCATCAACCATGTAATATAAGGTTTACATATTATGGCTGTGACTAATTAAAGAATTTCCCCTAGTCACTGACTTCTTCCCTAGATTAACTGAATATAACTACACAGTAACAAAAAACAGTAAAAGTTGCCGTAAGATTAGATACCAGTATGTCAAGAAACAACTGCTTCCAGATCATACAGGCAGCAGCATCATTTAAAATACATGCAGCTATAAAATAATTGAGCAAAAAGAGAGAAAAGCAATGTCACCACAGAGCAGCTGTCAATACTGAACTTGATTGCACTGCTCTGAGTAAAAAGTGGCAGTAGGTTTTCCTACTTTGTGGACTACTAAAAAAAAAAAAAATCAGCTAACACCAACAACAAAACAAAGCTCATGGTTCCCCCCAGGTAGGACATGCAGAGTCCCTTCCAGCCCAGGAAAGAATCAATTTATGAAACATTTTTAATAAAATTTACAGTCCATTTCAATAGAAGATCCATTGCAAAAAAAAGCAACCATGAGTTGACATTGACACTGGCTTTATCTGGGAGCAGCTACACTTCTTTTGGAAATTAAATTATTTTATAGATCTTTGCTGAGAGTTTGTGAGAAAAATGGGAAGTGTGAGAGGAACCATGGCCTTGGTTAAAGCATAGAACACTTCAAAGGGTGCAAAAACTCTATCAGGGAGATGAAGAACACTGTGATATAAAAACTAAAAAAGGGAAAAGCCTGTTAAATTTATCAAACACTTCCCACTGTCCTTCTTCGCTTACAACTTGGTAAAGCTCTAACAGTTTCTGCTGATACTCTACATATGCTGGTTCACTGTTTTTGAGGGGACATGCAACAGAAGAGCCTGCATTTCAGCCAAAATAGTTCAGCTATTCCCATGAATAAGGAAAACCTTTTTTTTAATCATATTCCTTTGACTAGCTCCAGCAATCCCACACTTCTTAAACAAGGAATTGGAACTCAAAAGCACTGGGAAATCATAAAAACATTTCTGAATTATGCTTGTGCCAAAAAGACCACATGCCACCGCATATTGCAGCACAATGCTAAAAGATCAGGCATGCCAAATCTGGCCGCGATGACAAGTTACAAGCCTTTGAAAAATGCTACTTCCACATGCTCACCAGAAAGCTTAAATAGCCAAAGATCCCATCCACACTCAGTGAGCACTCCTTGTCCTGTACCCATACCTACCGTTTCCCCCCTCTCCTCGTGCTCCTCTAGTGCTCATCACACAGTAAGTCACTTCCACTTGCCAAATAGCAGAAAACTAAGCAAAAAATGTATTTGTGCTACCTTAGCAAACGTAAGCAACTTGCTATGTGATCTGACAGGCGTCTGAGTTGGTGAAACAGAGGAGAGGACTGGGGAGAGAGACCTCTGTGGCATTTCTCCCCAGCTGCGAGCTGTTGGATTTGCTTCAGTCCTGATGCCATGTTGCCTCTCCTTCCACATTCTCCAATACCAATTAGTAAGCAGGTTATCTGACATGCCAGCTGCTAGTTACCACAGGTCAGAGACCAGGGCAGCAACTCAGGAGGTTACAACCCTGCTCACGTCTTACATGGTTGTCACTGTACGGATACATGACTAACTAGCTCCTTAGCTGTTTACTTTAAGAAATCCCACGTGTAAAAGTGATGAAAGAACATTTCGGAGCAGAAGTCACGTCATAAATTCAGAAATGCTTCACTTAAAAGATACCTATAAAAAGTAAATTCTGTTGACTGAACAAATACCATGAACAGAACTGTCGTCTTCAACTATTTGAAAAACTGATTCACCAAAGCCAGATTTCTTGCAGGAAGTGGCAATCTCAATGAAGGTCTCATTAAATAAAAAAAAATTGTGTAACATAGTTGATGAAACAAGGCTTTCTCAATACTGAAACCTCTGGTTTTCCATTTTCATTTTGAAATTTAGGCTGTTTGGAAGAGTTATAGTTTAAAAATTTAAAGAAGCTAGAAGAAAAAATTACCCAAAGTAACTTTTCCCCATACTCTATCTTGGACCGTTTCTTAATCACCCTTCTCCCCCATTTCAGGACAGGAAAGCTTTTTCCATTCAGATCCAATCCTAAGATTGTTTTTAACTACACAAATGCATACTTCTGCATGCAGTGTAGCTGTTACACCATGGATAAAGAACACAGTACATCTACAAATGGAAAGGCAGTATGCCTTTAGCCTATATAAAACATAAGCCCAGTGATCTTCAAGAATTTCTAACATCTTTGCTGGAACCTGACAGGGCATCCTTTCCTACTGATACTCTTCTAACAACTATGAAAAAGGGAAGAAGCCATCGCTGCCTTTTATTTAGTCTTTAGCAGCAGCTGCTACAGCTCTGCCACGCTGGTTACCATACAGATAGACGGACCTTGCCCTGTAGGAGACCCAGCCAATGCTGAACACCAGGAGCCTGAGCCTGTGCTCGGCCCCACTGGGCCACCCGACTGCGATGTTACGCACAGATGCAAGTGGAAAAGCCATAACCATCAGTTTTCAGAACTCCAAAGATTCAAATCCATCAGCATTTACACAAATCCTATCGGGAAAGAGGACATTTCAGGCAAACGATCCAAATAGTAACTTCAGTCTCCCTCCTAGATTACAGAGTGTAGAGGCATCAGCTTCCAGGACTGGTCAGGATTCCATCAAGGGCAAGTATCAGTGAGCATCAGAAGAGGAAAATGGAGGTTTCTCTGTGTCGGTCAGAGAAAAGAATGGCTTGTAAACATACTGGGGAAAGCAGTAAATGTGAGGCACAGCTAATGGCTTTTCCCAACTCTCTAATCCCTATAAATCATGCACTGACAAGCTCATCCATGGGAAAAATGACAGACACTGTAGAGAAAGATCCTGAGTGCACTCGTTTCATAACCCACAGCCCTTAACAGAGCTAAAAACAGTCAGCTGAACCTCAGACCAGGATGAGTAAGGTTTAAAGTTTTAAGATTTAAATAGAACTTGATTTAAACAGGGCTTAGGTGCATTTTCTTTTGAAAAAACCCAACTATTTAAATTTGAAATTACAACAGCCTACCTTAAAACGTAATGCTATTGTAATCTACTAAAATCACTTAAATTAACTACATTCAAACAATACCTATTTTCTGAGAAAACAGCTTACAGACGCATCTGAAGGACCAGCCTGGAGCAGAGCCCCTTGAAATGCTGTGATAACTTTTGACCGCAGAAACTTGTTCTGAAAATGCCATAGCGGGCAAAAAAAAAAATAGAAACAAAGGCCATATTCATCAAGTTCAACGACTTGTTAATTGAAAAGCTGCAAATCAACTGGAAACTGAGAAAGCAGGAAAGCAGTTTTCCTCTTTCAGTCTCTAAATAAAAAAAAATAGGCACGAAAGGATAAGATACTTTTGTTCTAAACTCCCGAAGGACACGGTGACCAGGAAAGGTCAGTCCAGTTAATAACTGCTGATAGCAGTTATTTTGTTTAGTATACCCTAGAGTTACAGACGCAAAACATGTTTTGATAAACCCTTTCTTTTGTTATAGAACAATATTTAACAGCATATTGAATATTAATATATTTTAATATAAAATGCTGTATGCTGTATTTAAATTTGTTTTTACCTAAATGCAGCTTAATACTAATACAGAAAAATAATTAATCCATATCTAGTGAACAGAATATAATTCATTATTCTCTGAATGAGCATAACAAATAAGCCTCTAAACACATCTTCAGGTATTTATGTGCCAATTAATATATTATACCTCATAATAAAAGC